CATTTTTAAAACAGTCATTGTCCATGCCGGTTTCATTTGGATTATTTGTCACAGTTGCTCCGATCAGATCGGTCTCCTCCATTTTTTAGATTATTTACGACTTTTGAATCCACATAAACACATCGGCAAAATCCGGCTTACTTTGAGCATGTGTTTTAAACAGTTCTCCTGGCTGTCACAGCTTTACTTTCTCTGAATAAAGTCTTTGTATTGCACATGTCTGCCAGTGTAAGAAGCAGATTACAAACTAAACTAAAAGAAAGGAAACGTGTGAGGGAAGTGACTGACCAGTGAAGGTGAAGATAAAGACACAGATGGAGATGACCCATGACACCCGGCTGTTGCTCTCTCCAAACTCCTCCATCAGATCCTGGAGGAAGACACCCAGGCTCTTCAGGGCCCCATAGGTGCAGACCTCCACCAGGAAGAAGGCCAGGGCCACAGCCCAGCCCCAGCCGCCATCAGGTACCTCTGGGTAAACATTTGCAGCCAAACAGCGCTGGAAATAGGGCCCCCTCATGGCAACAGCACGCCACCTGGAGGAAGAAACACAGATGACATCAGTGACCTCATTTTAGACATCATTCCTGCACCTCTCTTTATTTTCTCTCATATTTGTATGTGTATTTGACTGAGTTTGAATAGTTAATTTTGAAAGGGGTTGTACTTTGTCTTTAACCAATTATTAGCAACATGATAAATACACAGAATGACTTCAAAACAATTACAATTAATTAAACATCACCATTGAAGTGTAATTTTTACAACTTTCCTCAAAAAGTGGAAAGCCAAGTGTATTCATGGGATCAACCTTCCCATCGGCCAACTCTGCCTCTGAATTCTAAGAAAAACGTTTTGCATGGGAAACTCGACTTCAGGAAACAAAACATCAGCTGGGTCAAGAAAACACTGGGCTATCTCCTCCCACAAAGTTGCGCGCGCACACACACACACACACACACACACACACACACACACACACACACACACACACACACACACACACACACACACACACACACACACACACACACACATTAGTTGAGGGTAAATAAAATGTTTTATAGTTATTACAGGCACAGGAAGCGATTTCTTCCTCTGAAATATGAACCGGTTTTAGTAGATATAAGTCACATACTTGTATCTATTGACCCTAATTCAAGTTCAAATACTTTTCTTGGCATCAGCCGTATCTCTGTCCAGCTTAGATTTGAACTAAATGACATACAGTTGAGAACACGTATGGAAAAGGTGAACAGGCATCTATAATAATGTGATTACGCCTATTTGAGAGCATTTGGAATGGACTTTCCTGTCTGTGATGTTACACACTGGTTTTGACAATGTGATCCCGCAGTGCAGAGGAGCAGGGATGATGTCAGTGTGCCGCAGCAGCCTCACCGACCGGTGACATAACACGAAGAGCAGTCTACATTTACATAAGCCATTTTTTCAGGTGATTAATACGCATATATTGATAAGATATATTGGCGTGTCAATTAAAGCCTGTGTTCTGGATCTTTATTGTCTACTGCCTATTGCCTACTGGAATGCCATCCTTAAGCAAGCGGGACAGCTGCCCGCTGCCGGGGGGCTCGGTGAGCGGAGCACACAGCATCCTCAGCTGCCATGATAACATCTTTATTTGACTTACCGACAGGTGACAAGAGAAGTTAGAAAAGCAGCCTTCTGGTGAAACAAGGCCGCGTTTCCTATCTTGTCGTCATTTCATTGTCACGTTGCTACCTAGGCTATTTAAGCAAGTAACAGGCTAATTGAAGGCAAATAGAAAAGCTGGTATTGTTTTGGTTTATTTTCGCTCTACAGCCGCATCTATCTCCTGTGAGTCTTGCTCCGCCTGTGTTGGCAGTCCTTTACCGGCTCAAGCCAGTATTCAAACGGGGGCGCGCAACCTCCCCGGCTTCATGAACGCGCAGGGCGTTCCTCTTGGTGAGATATGAGACACGGGAAGTCCTTCTGCGGCGCGAGGATAGACTGTACATGTAAAGAGCGCGAGCTACATCAACAAATGCAGAACTGCTCTGATGCTGCGTTTAGGTGATGGTGAAAAAACATCAGGAATTAAGAGTTAACTACCTCAACGACATATCCTTAATCATAAATAGGACTGGAATTGTAAATATGGTCCCAAGATAACATTTGATGGGAAAAGTTTTTATCGCACATTTAAATTGAAATGTATGTCTTTTTTTTTGGACTCCTCAAGAAACCTTACAAATAACTAATCTACGGCGTGTAGCCTACGTGAATACAACTCCAAAGCAAACGCGTAATCAGGGCGCGCAGATGGATTGAACGGGTTTGGTTTATTCCAGTTGAGAGGCAGCATCCGGTCCACCGTTCGGGTTCTGTGTGTGTGTGTGTGTGTGTGTGTGTGTGTGTGTATGTGTGTGTGTGTGTGTGTTTCTCAATCGCGAGTGAAGCTGCTGCAGAGCCACTATTTCAAGCATACTACGTCATCGTGTGCCGCCGAAGTATACTGTTCCAATCTCCAGCATACTTGGAAATCTACCGAGCCCGGCGTACTTCGTTAGGAGAAATTTCGAGGCTGCACATTGTTACTGCCACTACCCGATCCGTCCCCCTGCCCGATCTGTACTGCGCCTGTGCGAGATGGTCCGCCATATTGGACAACTCCGGACGGCAACCCAAGGCCCTTTCTCATTTCTCTAACTCCCCTCCTTGACTCCTATTTCACGATACTTAGTCCCGCCCACAGGAGATGCGAGCGGAGGAGCCGAGGAGGGGAACCGAGGAGAGAGCAGGGGAAGCAGCAGGCGGTTAGAGAAATGAGAACTCCTCTCCTCTGAGCGGTCATTTTAAAGAGACGTCCATTAATGATGACAGGAGGCACAGCAGCCCTCTGTCTGATGGACAGATGTGTTCATGACCACTTATATATTTACTTTGATTCATTCACAGTGCGGTATAATGAGACAATAACAGGCTACAGATGCGGACACTCACACACACACACATATATTTATATAAATATATACAATTTCAGAATCAAACAGAGCACTCTCATAATAACGTAACACCATCAGAGACTGGATATAATATCGTCTTACTGCCAGCCCACGGAGCTGTAATAATGGATACATTGCACATGTTTGCTGTAATTCATTATTATACTACATGGGCTGTATGATTAAATCTTGTACCGTAAATGTTGTATTAAATAAAGTTAATATTACCGACGTTAGATTAATGTACGGTGGCTGGGAAGTGCAATGGACAATTACAAAGTGTGAAACACTTTAACAAAGCTTGAGACACATTTACATTTTATAAAACAAAATTACATTAGCAAAAACACTTTTACCAAGGAAAAAAAAATTAACATTAACGAAAACAAATTAACAAGATGTAAAACACTTTTACCATAACTGAAACAAATTAAAATGTCCCAAAACACTAACATTTCCCGAAACACATTAGGCTTGTTTGAGACAAGCGAGACCTGCGCAGACCTGCGCAATTTCGATCAACGTCTTGCTCGTGCGTTGCATGATGGTTAGTCATTTTGTCCGACTTGCTCTGGAGGCTCGCCTACATGAGACGTTGAAATCTCGCGGGACAAAGACGCCCGCAGCCTTGAGAGCGAGGCGCGGCGAGGCGGCGCAGTTCCTCTCCACGGGCTGCGGATGCGAAATGCTTGATGGGAAACGACTCGCTGGTATCTCGAGCTGAGCGCTCATTGGTGGTTTTTACCACGTGCTGGTGATGAAACTCTCCAATTGGCTCGGCAAAAGTTTGTTGTTGTTTTGTGTCAGTTTTACGTCGCCACTTCCATTCACATTTTTCATCATTGTTCCACAATGTTTATCATCATTAAATTAATATCCATATATTTTATACTATACTTGCACTGCTTACCGTTTTCAAACTTTATATATCTTAGCATATTCATACACACTGTTCATACTGCTCTCAGGCTGCTGTGTATATCTAGTGTATTCATACCCCTCACTGTTTATTCATCATTCAATTCATTCTATATGTTATTCTGTACATTGTGTACATTACTTTTCACTTTACTGCTTGTTGCACCTGGTTAGAAGCTAAAGTGCATTTCGTTGTCTCAGTACCTGTAATATGTGCAATAACAATAAAGTTGAATCTAATCTTGAGCAGGAACAAATGTATTTATTTAGTACATATCTGACATTAACGATTAAACACATGTGTGCATTCTTTATAAATGCAAACCGAGTCAAGCCGACTCCGGAGGTGTCCAAAGTTGTTTGCAATTCGCCAAAAAACCGAGAGAAGAAGAAGCAGAAGAAGAAGCCGACTCCGAGCTGTCCGACTTCAGGCAAGCTTTTTGAGACCTCCCCCGGCTGCGATCGGCTATTCTCGTCTACTTTCGAGGCGAGCCGTTGTCACTACCCGATCTGCAGCTCTGCCCGATCTGCAGTGCGCATGTGCAAGATGGTCCGCCATATTGGACAACTCCGGACGGCAACCCAAGTAGGACAATATTGACACAGTGGCTTTTGGCAAAGCTCAAAAGGAAAACTCGAGAGAGATGAGTTATTGTTATTACAACGTTACTTCACTATTATTTAACAACTATTTTTATTGGGTTCTTTTATTTGGGGTTAAGTACATTGTCAGAATAAGTGAGGAATGAATTTAACTTCTGTTAGACAGCTATATGCCATACCTTTTTTGCTCACATTCACAGTAAATATGTATTCAGTATATGATAGCTGTCTAACAGAAGTTAAATCCATGTCTCACTTATTCTGACAATGTACTTAACCCCAAATAAAAGAACCCAATAAAAAAGAGTTGTTAAATAATAGTGAAGTCACGTTGTAATAACAATAACTCTTCTCTCTCTCGTTTTATTTTTGAGCTTTGCTAAAAGCCACTGTGTCAAGTGTCCATCTTGGGCTGCCGTCCGGAGTTGTCCAATATGGCGGACCATCTCGCACATGCGCACTGCAGATCGGGCAGAGCTGCAGATCGGGTAGTGACAGCCGCAACGCGTCTCAAACAAGCCTATTTACAAACCAGAATCAAACCGGAAAGGGAATGTCCATCATACCGGAAGTGACGTTTTAGTGATTGACTCAAATTTGAATTTGTTTTGGCGGAAATACCGAAGGTACGAGTGTGTTTACGTTCGGTAAACATGTTTTGTCCGTTTTGTGGAAACAACCTGGGACAAGTGACACCGTTTTGCCTTTCGTGTGGAGGATCTCTGGAGTGTTTAAAGGACACGGACCAGACGGGTGTACCAAGCGCACAGGGGACATCGAAACAGCCGGAAAATGCTAAACAAAGTAAGTGTAGTATTGCGCTAGCTTTGTGATGCTAATGTCAGACATGCAGTAAATACAAGTGCAATCACAGTTTAATATCAGTCAAATACCAATCCATGTCTTAACGGAATAGCAACGCATTGAGCTAATATGCTAGTTTTTATTTTAGGCTTTCCGTAAACCTTAATGCACACTTGCTATTGCTGATTGTTGGAGCTGCTAATTTGTATATTTGTATTGGAACTATTCATACCAGCAGAACAACCAGGCCCATCCTATAAACTTTTCATGGAGTACAGAAACTCAAAGTCAAAAGAGAAACAGTCTTTTAACTGTGGGAAAGGAAGACTTAAACAAGAAAAGAGACGAGTCCAGGTAAGCTGCATTATCCGTTGCATACTGTTCTCAGTGTCTCTGTGTGTGTCATTACTTATATCTCTCTGCTATTTTACTAGATAAACATAGGAGTGATGTCGCCACAAGGAGTTGATTTAAAGCCTCGGAGAGGGAAAACACTCCCGTTGTTTACAGACCCGGAGGTAGCAGCACCTGCTATACTGGAACGAGCTGTCCAGAAAATGAAAACCTTTAACAAGGACATGGATGAAGGACCGTACGTCCTTTTGTATCCAGACTGCTCAGAGGTTGTCAATGTGCCTGGTTCAGAAAAGCCATTCACATTGGCAGAATATAAAAAGGACTTACGAAAGGCATATGCCAGGATCACCCTTTTCATTTTCCTTGAGAAACATTTTAGAGGAGGTTTGTGGATGTTATTATTCAATATGTTTACATGTTAACATCCTCTACTGCAGCATACATAATAATGTGTTGAACGTTTTGCTTTTACTACAGGGGATGATACCTCAGACTCTGATTCGGATATTGTCATCACATCTAGGAGCACAGCTGAATTCAATCAGGCTGACACTGTGGTGGTAAATGATTTTATTTTAATGTTCATTTATTTATTTGATATACATTTGATTTTAAGCAGGAAATCTATATTCTGGTCAATATTTTAGAAGAACCAACTTGGCAGTTACAATTACTATCAGAAACACTGACAACGTTTCACTGTTGATAGACATACGTGGTAAGGGAATAATAATGGAAGCTGTTGATAATTGTACACTTTTACTCTCAGGCACATCACATGACATATGATTTGTAAACCACGAAACAAAAGTACTCCAAAACACAAACCTGAAAATTAAGGGTAAGTTTGTACTTATTTTTACAAAATAAGTAATTTATCTTTAACTGGATGATAAGAATAGGCCACAGCATTTTCTCTGGTGAACATGGATACAAAAATACCACATGTCATCTAATTTCAAACAAAAATAATTATAAGTTATTTATAAATCTTATGGTTCCCCTACCTCTAAATGTTACTTAAAACTCAACTATACCCTGTATCATGAAGTTAATAATTGTATCATGTTTCAGGAAGGCACTTGGACATTCATCCACAACTCAGCCTGGACAGGTATTGAGGCAGATTGTGGAAGCCTGATGTTTCTAACGTTCAGTGTTGTTTTGTTACAGACATTTGTATTTGTATTTCAGATAGTAATATCTGATACTGAGGATATGGGTCCACTCAAAACAAATACAGACAAGAGTACTTGCTACAGGTAAGTACAAATGTTAGTGACTCACTTACACGAGAAAGACATTTTTGTTTGTAAGATGTTTTAACATGGGAATTATCATTTCCTAACAGTACATACACAGACCTGTATGCACCATGTGTTGAAGAAGAGGACGAGGAGCTGGTTGCAGTCAACATGACGAGTTTATTGGACACTGAAATGTAAACGGACAGCTATTACAGTGGCATTACATTTTTTTCTCTGTACAATATTTCTGGTACAAAAATTATTTTTTTTAAATGTTTTTGCACCCTCTGGAATATCCACTAATAAGGTCACGTTTTGTCCTTTACAGGGAGGAGATGCACGTTACATTACCTGCCATTATTGCTAACCTGTCACAGCCTATTGATCATGGAAGAGTCAGTCGGTTCAACATTTCAAGGGCTAATGTTTGGGATGGAGCAGTCAGAGGTTTCAAGCGTACATCGTATTCAGAAAACTGTGACATGCTGGTAAAATTCACTGATGATGCTGGTGTTTTCGAAGAAGGAATTGACTCAGGTGGGCCCAGGAGAGAGTTGTTATCTCTACTGATGAAGAATCTGAAAGACCGGCCCATTTTTGATGGACCAGACGGACGCCGCTTCTTGTTCTACAATGCAAATGGTATGCATACGGTTAGAAGTGTACTAATACAATTGTTAATGATCATTAACCATATATATCACATGACATATGATTTGTTGCTTGAACAATTTGTCCAATACGTTGAGTTTCATTACAGTACATTAAAGTTTATAATAAAAAATGTTTTAATTTTGCAATATGAATACATGTATTCACAGCTGTTAGGGAGGATGAATACTACTTGGCAGGAAAGATGATTGCGGTGTCAGTTGTGCATGGAGGTCCAGGGCCACATTTCCTGTCAGAAGATCTTGTATATTATCTTGCAGGCCAGCCTTCATTCAAAGCAACAGTTGATTTAATAACTGATGAAGAAGTAGGGAAAGCTTTACAAGAGGTGAGAGTTGCATACAGCAACAGTGTGGTAGGGTGGATTATTATGTAGTTCCTGCAGTGTTTTGAGACATCTTTACTTTACCTTTATCACATACATCGAATTGGCTTCATTTTTTGTTTTGTGATCAGAATCAGAATACCCTTTTTAGTCCCACAGAGGGGACATTTACATTGTTGGAGCAGAAAAGAGCCAAAGACAGCTTAATGTTACCTAAGAAGAATGATTAAAAACTATTAAAGATACACAAACACAATTTACAAAAAACACATCCTATAGTAGAGGATTTAGCAGCCAGGTATATATTGCACAAGGATAGTAGTAATAATAATATATAAAACTTGTAATGGAACAAAAATGGCAAGAATATACAGTACATGCAGTTATTGACTGGATTGTTTGTCCATTTTATAATCTTCAGATTGAGAATGCTGCCTCAGTGGATGCCTTGCGAGAAATGACCATGAGACACAGCACAATGTTACAGACAGCAGGTTGTCTGAGACATGTGGCTTCTGTTGAAGGAAATAAAGGAATTGTGTCAGACTACCTCCAGTGGTACATTATTGGCCGAAACTCATCTGTAATTGACAGGTAAGATCATATTTGTATTCATGTGATTTTGTTTAAAATAACTCATGGTCCCCCTCTTTGGTTTATTCTATGTTTATCTGTTAGCAATTAGTCAGTGTCAACATGTGTGCCTGTGTAGTATAACTGATATGGGATGTCCGTCTCTCCTTTCCCTGCCTGTCTTGTGCCAATCTTTAAGTGCTCATGCCACCCCCCCCTTGTTTTAGGAATTGGTTATTTAAATGTGACTTTGTGATGAAACATTTTTTTGTTCACTCTTCAGATTCAAGGAGGGTCTTTCAGCCCTTCAGTTTTTAAATGCACTACAGCAACACCCTACTCTGTTGGCCCCGGTCCTGTGCCACTCTGAAAAGCGACTTACTGCTCTGGAACTTGAGCGACTCTTCAAGCCTGACCTCAGTCCACCAGGGAGTAACAGGAGGCTTAGGGAAAGCCACACTTTGGGCTACTGGGCAGACTATCTCCTCGATTGTGAAGGTTTGTAAATCGCTGTTTTTATAACTATTTCAGGAAACACATTGCCAAAATGTATCTGAACATGTTTTCTTTGCAGAAAGCCAGACTGCTGTGTCTTTGGAGGATGTTTTGATGTTTGCGACTGGGCTGACTTCACTTCCTCCATCTGGATTTGAACCATCGCCAGGAATAGAGTTCCTTGATGACTCTCCATTCCCAATGGCAAACACTTGTTCCAACACATTGAAACTACCACTCCTTGACGCATACAATGTGTTTAAGTCCCAAATGGACTTTGGAATGCAACATTCTCCAGGATTTGGCTGTTTTTAAGTCATGTGACTGGATGACCCATTGAGTACAGACTCTATGAAGGTTGTTCATATAGTCGTTGTTAGATGTGAGCGTGTTTTTTTTCTCACAGCTCATGTTGTCCATTTAGTTTGGGACAAAATCAAAGTATTGTTCTATACCTATACAATCTTTATAAATACTCTGAACTTTGCTATACTTATTTCACATTGCGACCCATAGCTTCTTTGTTGTAAATCAGTCATTCATTCTCAGGTTTCCAGTGAGTCCACATGGTTGAAATAAGACTTATACAGAAATGTTCTTTCTGCACACAATTACGCACACAACATAACCTTGTTTGTGCTTGCTAATTGGAGCGTTGTTGTTGTTATTCCAGTTATATTTTATGATTAAGATATTTATTTTATGACGGTGGTGTATAAATGACATTGAAACAAATATTGTGATTGGCTAGAAACCATGTTCATTTCAAAATGCTGTTTTTATTTTAAAATGTATGGGAATATCTTTTTTCTAAAGAGGACCAGTCTTCAGATGAACAGGTACCATAATCATTTGGATACATCACAGGGGAAAGAGTAAATGCAGTCTGACAAACCATGAAACCAAGCATTGTTTAGCCCTGAAATCTGATTTGGAGTGGTGAAACAGTGCTACTGTACTTCTGAATACCTTTTTGATTACTTTATAACTGAGCATATTCTTTCAGCTTCATGTACAGTTCTGATGCCGTCTCCCAGTTCTCTGGCTTCTGCAGGTCATTGCGCTCCATAGCAAAGTCCAAGTACTCCTGCATGTTTTGGTCCCCACATGGAGCTATAGACAGGCTTGTCTCAGGAACAGCATCCATTTCTGCCTGTTCAATCTCAAATCCACAGTCCCTGGAGCCAAATCTATGTTAAATAGAAGACATAATAGTATTAATTTACATTTAAGATAAAAACAAAAAGAAGTATCAATCCATCACCAATGTATTACCTGTGTGGCAAGTAGTACAGTTCATTGGGCACTCCTCCTGGGCATGATGCTGTTCTGGAAGGGCGAATCCTGTGACTGTTCCACAGTCTCACACACTCATCCAAGTCCTTCTGAATAACATCAACGAAGCAGAATCTCAGAAGGCACTGATGCTCGTGACTCCCGTTGAAGTATCCAGCATCTCGGAGGTCTGCAAATAGCTCCATCCAGAACTGAGACCTATAGAAATTGATATATTTTCAAGTGAATTATTAAGCAATATACAACAATTCTACAAATTACATTAAAAGGTTACCAGTAAAATCAACAACAAATCATTGAGTGTCTATTTAATCATTTATTTGCTTCACAACCTATAGTGCGTAGGTCCCCTCAGGGGCTGCTGTTCAATCCAAAACCCACACTTAGATGTTCACGGTTTCTAACTTTATTTCTGCCAAAAATAAGTTCTAAAGAAAGGCCTTGTATAGTCTGGGTCATAGACTACAGGCTATATATTATATCTATTATAATAAAAACTGATACACTTTAGCTAAGCAAATGTTGTTTCTCTGACAGTGTTGGCAAGTCATAGATAATCATGACAGACACTTACCTTCCCTTTCTTAATATGGACCACCAGGACTCGCTGATTAGTCATGGATGAGCCATACATGTGGCTGGACGCTCCAGAGTAGTAGTCATGGTGATGATGACGTAGGGTGCACTGAATTGCAGCCATAATTCCGTTCTCCGTGCCACAATCAGTCCGCATCCTCATGGGGATGACACCGAGGTTTCGCACACATTTGAGGAAATATTGAGCGATAACTCTCGGGTTATTGTTTGTTGGACCACATTCAAGCCATAGTACTTTACGTGAAAATCCATCTATGCCTCCTGAAAGGGCCACACCGAATGGCTTAAGTTTGTCATAACCGTCAGCAGGGGCGTCGCCTGGACTAGGAAACATTCGGGGCTTAGCCCCCAGGGGCGGCGCTACAGTCAAATTTTCTACTGCAAGACTCCCCACACGCACATACACAATTGCGCCATCTGGTGTCACAAACGTGAGCCTGCATTAGCTTTGTTACGGCAATGGATTGTGGGAGATTCTCATAGCACGTGAGGATCTCTTGAGGGTAAGGTGCCTGTATTATCTCAGTGGACAAAATGTATGTTTTTATTTTATAAAGGACAATAACGTACTGTTGTGTTTATTTAGTTTAATGTTAATTGTTTAATGCTCAGTCACAGCAACATGTTTTTAGTGTGATTGGCTATTTGTTTTATATGATTTATCAACGTGATCATCAATATCTAATCTGAACACCAGAACCCAGCTCACGTGTCCTTTTATGCTGTCCATTGAAATGCAGGTATGCGAGTTTTATACACCAGTTTATTTATGTTTAATGTTTCACATTGCTCCACATGATGCCTTGACTACAAAGTATGTTTCTACGCTTCTTCCTCTGTGTCACAGTTTCAGGAATATCAAGATCATTGCACAGGGCCTTGGTCTTGTCATAGACCTCATGTGCTTTCTCGTTACTTCGGTAACTTTTCAGTGTGTTCTCAACTGCTGTTTTGTAATCTACTGCCTGCACCAAGTCAATTGTTTCTTTCTGCAGGTATTTGTGCAGGCCCTGAGTGGTTGAGAGCAGTGTCTGGAACATGACAGCATGCAGATGGTACTGCATTTTCAAAGCTTGCTTTCCAGTCCCTTTGCTAGAGGGGCTGAAAGGCTCCCTAAAGTCTTGATCAAAGCAGGGAGGTTTTTGACATGCCCAGCGAACAAGTTGTTTGTCCCCTACCTCTTGCTGTTTCTGAAATGTTTGCAATCTCTGATGGTGGACAAGAGATGTGGAGAAGAAAGAGTAGAGACACTCCAGGAGATCAACGCAGGTATGTGAGTTTTGTACACCAGTTTGTATACGTTTAATGTTTCACATTGCTTGTGAAAAATATACTACCACTATACGATCACTGATGTTTTGTTGTTGACTGGACACTTATTTTGTAAAAGAGATAGCATGAGAGGATCTCTTAAGCAATGCAGCTTACGTGTCCTTTTTATATGCTGCCCATTGAAATGCAGGAAAGTAATCACCAGCTCTGAGTGATCTGTTGCCGAGGGGACACTACACCGGAGTTACATAAGCAGAGATAAAGTGCTATTTTGGGGGGAACTCACCTCCTCTGGGGTCCCCCAGGAAGACTTTTTTTAAATACTGAAGTTAAAAGCATCAATCTTGTGCACTTTGAGAGCAACATTAAGAGATATGGATACATCTCTCAACACCCATATGTCAAAAAGAAATCAAAGAATCAGAATCAGAAACGGGTTTATTATTTAAAAACACTTCATTTTCCAATTAAATCATAAACTATGTCAAATTATTAGAAGTTGTTAGTAATCAGATTACACAGAAAAAAGGGATGGAAGGAGGAAATAATAATCCCTCACTTGCGGCATCCTTCATCTCTTGCTGCTTCCCACATCACTTGCTGTTTGCGGTTGAAATGATCTCTTTTGCCAAACATGCTGGATGGAAAGCAGTGATGTCTCACTTGCCTTGGCCCTGTATCTGCAGTCCCTAAATCAGTCATGTTACCCATTGACTCTTGTCTGTTCTGGTGTTCCTGTTCATTGTTGTCTCCATTGTCGTTCTTGTCTGTTGTATCTCCTTCTTGTGTGTCCCTTTCTCCTGTTCCCCTTTCTTCATCCTCTACTCTGTTTGGCTCATCTGTGATGACTGTGTAGGTAAACACAAACAAGTATGTAAGTCAATCAGTTTCCAGCTCTGTCAAATAAATGAATTTCAAGATACACACATTTGTCTTCATTAAAATGAGTGTCACCACACTGTCACAAAATGTAATACTAACCAATTGAAAATAGTTAAATTTACATTGGAAACCTCTTGTAGATATCACTGTTAAGAGTAGTTATCTGCCAATAGGACAGAATCATTCCTATACAAATGCAGTTTGAGTAATTCACTTAATATATTTACTTAAAACTTTAATATAGTCATTTTCACTTAATACTCTAATATAGTCATCTTTCTGCATTCAACACTAAGGAAAGCTGTACAATTTGACATGATAATGAGGAACATGCTATGCTCCTTTCAGGAGCCCCACTGGATTGGCTTTGATCTGAAATATTTGTATAAAAAGCTTGTTAGCTGGCTGTCCATCTCATAATGTTCACATAGAAACTAGCTGTCAATAGGAAATATCAATCAGAAGAATTATATTTTTTAGGGCCGGGACTCGATTAAAAAAATTAATCTAATTAATTAGAGGCTTTGTAATTAATTAATCGAAATTAATCGCATTTTTAATCGCATATAAATATTTGACCTGAGAACAGTGAGAAGCAATTTTTTTCACATGGATTTTAGTATACCATTAGGCGCATTCACACCGCAGTACTTTTCCCACAAAGGTTCATGAGAACTTAGTTCATGAGAACAAATGAAGCCGCTGACGTCACTTCTTCTTCTTCTGCTTTGGGTTTACTGGCAGGCCGCAAACCACTTCACGGCGTATACTGCCGCCCAAAGTCCCCGGCCGGAAGTCCCCGGAGTTGGGGACTGGTTTCAGTAGAAGCTGCTGGGAGTCCCAGCAGCTTCTACTGAAGCCTTCCGAGTAAATCGCCAGAACGCCGACACCTCCTCATCTCCACCGCTCCCATGTTTTATTTTGTGTTGCCATAAGTTAGTCTCTCTGAGTTTCTGCGCTGGGCTAATGCTAATAATGCTAATGCGAGGATAATAAAATGGCGGCTTCACCAAACTTTTTGGGAGTTTTACGGGGCGTGGTTTGCAATCCGCCCAGCCAATCAGAAATATAGCTCTTTTCTCACAAGAGAGCCGTACGAAAGTCCCTGCTCTCTAGCAGCTCTCTGCTCTCTAGCAGGGACTTTCGTGGGGGTAAAAAGGTTCTCATTAACTAATTTTAGTACCGGCTCTTTTTGGTGTGAACCATAGACTGTATGGTGTGAACGCGATAAAAGAGGCTAACGTCCACGCTAGCTTCCACGCTAGCTGCTATATGTTTTGCATTGAGGTGATACTTGAGGCTTGATGTGCTGCGGTGATATGTGAATTCCTTTTTGCATAATTTGCACACAACCGTGCTCTTATCAACGCTTCCATCCGTCCGTTTTTTAAAACAACATTTCCCACTGTTGTTCACTGTGGTTTGTTGTTGTCTGAAGTCATGAACGTTAGTTGGTGCTCCAGTATAATCGGTACGCCTGAAACTCATCCAGTGAGAAACGTTCCGCGGTGCAAAAATAAGTGCGATTAAAATGCGTTAATTTTTGTGTAATTAATTAATCTTAATTAACGCGTTAAAGTCCCGGCCCTAATTTTCATGCAAAATCTGTCACAAAAAGAGGTTGCACATTTAAATGCAGGTGTTGTTATGGCAACGTCAGTGGCCAGACAGCCACATTTACTGCTGCAAATACGTTCAAACATGCTGTCGACACCTAAAGCAGTGGCAACTATGCCACCATTTCAGCTGACTTTTTCTCAGAAATACTGTCACATAACATCCATATATTTCAGTGCTAGTTGATGCTTAGCTAAGCTAACTATGAAACACTTTAACTGACAGGACTCAGGATCAACTGTACTACTGTAAGGTAGCTTCTAGCTTCATGTCGAACACTGACAGTAAGTCAACATTTCCCAGAGAGCTTTCTTTGAAATCACCAAGTAACGCTAAAAAACACAACATTTATATTGTATGACAAAGTGTTTATTTAATATATCTGGCTAGCTATAGCTACTTGCTAACGGTTTAGCTTACTCGCGCGATTCAAAGTAACGTCAACGTAGCTATAATTTATGCTTTGCTTACATGTTCGCATAACTTGTAAGTTTACTGACAGGTACATACCTTGTTCACCTGGCTCAGGTGGTGGCTCTGGGGTTGTTGTGTGAGCCACCACTTGAGAATGGCCGTCTTTTTTATTAAAGAAATGTCGAATGTCCATCTTCAGAATCTCCGCGTCCGGGGCTGACAGTTTAAAGTTTAAACATCGTCACAGAGGAGTACCTGTC